GGCCAGTGTCAGCCTGAGAGGGACAGAAGGAGCCAGAAGAAGCCACAGAGGACAAAGCCCTGGCACGAGGTCCTCAGGGGATGCGGGCTCCCTGGTTAAATGGGGGGACACTCTAGGCAGAGAGGCCAAGGAAAGGGGACCCCTTGGTAAAGGCCGAGAGTTCTGAGGGGATGGAGAACAGGATGCTCCGAGGGGTCAGGCCTGGGAAGATGGTGGCCACCATCAGGCTGGAGCCAGGGGACGTGTGTGGGTTGCGACCCAGAAGCTATAACCAGATGTGCTGGCTTGAGGGAGGAAGAGTGGCCCGCAGGCCTCTGGAGCTCCCAGGCTGAGCCCAATTGGGCTCAAGGAGGCTGGGCTCGGGACCTGGCAGCTCCTGTGCCCCACCCTGGTCTTCATTCATCTCTCTGCAGCTGTTTTATATTAGTTGGAAGTTTTAGTCCCAAGTGAAAGAGGTCCCAGAAAATGGTTCAGGCGGGGAAGGGAACGTGTGGCTCTCGAAAGTGGGGTTTCGCCACATATGCTAGCATGGTGGTCCTTGAGGACTAGAAGCAAGGTCAAGCCAGTCAGTCACCAGAGGACAAATGCCACATGGGTCCACTAACGTGGGGCTTCTACAGCAGAAAATTCCAGGCTTCATCTTCAGAAGCCTCTGTTTACACAGTGGCAAAGATGGTGGCCCTCATCTTACATCATCTGCAGAGCCGATGGCGGTGTCCAAGAGAGTCGCAGGCCTGAGCCCTGTCACAGAGGGTCTGGGGATGACTGGCTGGCCAGTGCTGGCTCCTGACCCACTCCAGAACTGATTGCTGTAACCAAGGCGCCAATAACTCTGATTGGCTACGCCTGGGTCACATGTCCATACATGAACCAATCACTGTAGCCGGAGAATCGGGTACCCTGCCTCACCTCCCTGGGGTGGAGCCAGCCCACCTGAAACTCCGGAGGTCCAGCAGGGTGAGTTCTCACAGGGGAGCTAGGTAGGCAGCCCCTTTCTGTTACAGCTTCTTTCTCTGCAGACCAGTTTTCTGTGTTTTTAATTAGAAAGGAGGAGAAATCTCTCCAAATACAGCCCAGATTCCACTTCCTCCCTATTCAAGAAACATGAGACCTCATCTGTACTCCCAAGGCAGCTCGGATGATTAACAGATGGGATTGGGCCGGACAGATAGCTCAGCGGACTGCAGCACCTGTTTAGGTAAGCGCTAGGATCCGGGGTTCAATCCCTGGAATGCCACGCCCCCCCCCATGCTGAGCTGACATTGAGACTGGGCGTGGTGGCCCGCGTGCCTGTAATCCCAGTGTCTGGGAAGCTAAAAACAGGAGGATCACTACGAGTCCAATCTGCAGTGAGACCCTGTAGACCCTATACTAAATACATTAAAAAACAAAAAACACAGATGGGGTAGGGCGTCATGGGGCAGGTGTCCCACCTCGGATGGGTCCTTCTTTGTGAATCTAGCCAGCACCAGATGCCGCTGGGAGTTTGATGGATCTCTCCAAAGGGATCCCCAACCACACATTCACATAGCTGTTATGCTTCGCATGGATTGAGCACGTGGATTTGGTGGTAGGAAACTAATGGTGGAGCTACTGAAAAAAACGCTGAGATTCCTATCTTGGAGAATGAGGAGAAGGGGATGCTGCTGGCCAGGTCTGACTGTGGAAGGCAGGTCTGGCTGGGGTGTGGAGGCAAGTGCTAGTGTCAAGATGGCAGGGAAGGAAGCCTGGAGCCTGAAATGGCATGGCCATGGCTGGGATGGGGACTCAGGTGTCGGCAGGGACATGTGGCAGTGTGTGAGAGGGCACATGGAGAGGCCGTGGGGGTGTGCAGAGAGCTGAGGGCAGAGCCTGACGGGTAGGTGCCTGCTGGGCCCTCCATGGTGCCTTGTGCCAGTGGGCCCCGCCCACACACTGTTGTGGGCAGCTGAATTAGAAATATTATAGGCAGTCAGACAGGGCCAGGCCTCAAGGAGACAAGCTGGAAGACAAGGTGACATTGCAACTTGGAAGAGACAGACACTCCCATATGGGCCAGACCTCAAGACCAAGACAAGAAGAGGAAGCACAGCTACACACTTCCCTAGGGAGGGGCATTAGGGAGTGATATCTTAAATAGTGTCAATCAACTTGAAAGAGCCCAAAAGAGCCAGTAGCCCAACCCCCAACAGAGAGACCCTGTTCCGTATTCGTGCCCGCTTGCTACGTGACTCGCTTTCCCATTTGATACTGGATTTAATCAATTTTACCTAAACAATGGTGCTTGTAATCTCATTGGTTGACCATAGTTTTGTCCCACCTCATGCCCAACTAAGCAGTTCCCATGTCTTCTCCACCACCTTAGACCCACCTCACCACATGGTTTTCCTCTATAAAAGTCCCTGCAAGAGACAACTTGGGGGGGACTACCCACTCGGACACCCCCTGTCCCTCCCTCGGGACAGGAGCTTTCTTTGTCTCAAATATATTTTGCTCATAATCTCTGTTTGTTCCTAAAATTTGTTCTTTGGTTTTAGAGAACACGAACTCGTGCAGGTCAGGTCCCGAGATCATTTTTCTCTATGTCATTTGGAGGTTCCCTGTATTGTTTGGAGGTCACCCACCCGAGACCAGTTTTTCTCCCTGTATCATCACCACATGCTCTATAAAACTCTCTAGAAATGACGGATTTCTGGGCAACCCACTCAGGTCCCCTTTCTATTCCTTTCTCAGACAGAGACTTGCTTTCCCCCAGTAAATATATTCTGCTCTTGCCCTCCGTTTGTTCCTAAAATTCATTCTTCAGCTTTAGAGAACAGGAGCTCATCCCAGGGACTTTCAGTTTGGGAGTTGCGTTCCCCTACATCAACAGGGCCGAGAGAAGGGGGGCAGCGAGAAGGGGGGCAGCGGGGAGAACCCAGCCTTCCAGGTCAGCCCTCAAGGGACCGCCTCCAGCCAGGCCCCTCCTGCTCACATATGACTCTAGGAACGCTTTACATCTAACCATACGTCACCATCATGTTACGGAGACACAGGGCAGAGACACTTCTAGAATGTTCTCAAAGCCACACAGCCAGTGTGGGTGTGATGGCCTAAACCCACACTCTTAGCAAAGATATTGCCATGATGAACTTTAGCTGACCCCAGAGTTGTAAAAACAGGCCTACATGTGAAACAAGTAGCCACATAGAGGAAATATACCCCGATAAAGCGCTGGCCCTGAACGAGAAAGCACTGGCCCTGAACGAAACGGGAAAACGTAGCCACACGTGTGACCTAACTGTCTGTCTGACAATCACGCTCTACATTTTATTCTACAGGCAGGACGTGTGCAGACCTAACGGAATGACAAACAGGATTCATGCTATACATTTTATTTTAAACTTTTGTCAAGCAGGATATATTATGTATTCTCTTTATATTTTCTTTTTAACCCCATAATTTTATTGAAAAACAAATAGCAATGAGACGGTTTCAAATCAAATTAGTAGGACAGTTTCAATAATTAACACATTGCATACTGCATTCTTAGTGGTTATTTGTTGTACAAGATACAGACATGATATTCTATTTACAAACACTATTAGAACAAATCCCTCTATTCATTGAATTAAGAGAATGTACCTGTATATCTATCCTAACCACTTTGAATACACAGATACAAAGTGGTCATTCATCTGTATCCCCCTTTTTGTTTAGTTCTGTAATTTAAATATTATAGGTGTGTGAACTCAGCAAAATATTCCAAAATAGTCCAGTAATCCATAATAATATTGGGTCTTCTGCTTGACTGGCAATGTCAGAAATTGTTGACCCGAGTCCCCTACAGCTCATCATAACAACATGGCTTTACTTATACTTCGTTTCTATACCTTTCTGCTGGATGGTTAAGACCAGGATAAAGCATGACCTATGTAACAAGAGTTGTAGCTTTTGGATCTGATAAGGTCAGTCAAATCCCTTCTGGATTTATCACAAGACCCTGTACCTCAGTTTGTAAATCCTTTGTCAGTGTCAGCCATGTGGATGAGTCACAGCCATTGCTTGGCCAGGGTGCTCTCTGTGACAGCCTGAGAGAATGTTTTCTCTCCATGTGACTCTCCTTAGGCACACTCTACATCATCGATCACTTTCCTCTTTGGCCCCATAATCTCCTTGATCAGAAAATTTGGGACACTACTGAGTTACGTGATGTTACAGTACAAGTTCTCGTATGTCCTGAGCCTTAACTGACCTGGAAAGCTAGGGCCAAAATGTTGGCTTTCCTTGCAGCCCTCCTTTTTCTCTAATTTTTGGTCTGCAGACTTAGGTTGTTAACCCTCCAGAAGACAAGCTTATTGTTATTACCACACAACCTAGGCTGTTAAGCTTAACCTCACTATCTGTCTGAATATCAAACATTTTAGGCATAACATGGAACAGGTATTTTTCATCAAATATTGATATGTTGAACTTTAAGTCCTTACAGAATATGACAAAAAAATTTTAAAAATTAAAATATATTTTAAAAATAGGAATCTCTTTATATTTTCTTTGCGTTTTTTTCTTTCCCTCCTCTTTATATACAGTTCATTTACTCTGATTGGGACCACTTCACGTAGACTCTGAAACAGGGGTCTATGCTGATGGTCGCTGAGCTCAGCTAATAAAAACCCTCAAATTTCTTTTTTTTTCTTTCTTTCTTTCTTTTTCTTTTTCTCTTTCTTTCTTTCTTTCTTTCTTTCTTTCTTTCTTTCTTTCTTTCTTTTTTTTTTTTCAATACTGGGGATTGCACTCAGGACCCTGCGCTTGCCAGGCAGGAGATTATTCTGAGATATCGCCCCTGCTTTTTTTTTTTTTTTTCCTGTCAAATTTCTAATTGGCTACTTGGATTCCTATATTGTTTATGAACTCACAAAAGTGGAGAGCTGGAGGGCAGCTGGGACAGCCTCCCTGGTCCTGCTCCAGCCAGCTCATATTCATGAACAGGGAGATGTGATAGGCAGTCTAGAAGCCAGTGTGGAGGGCACAGAGGTACACGTTCAGCAGGCAGATCTACATGCCTTTAGGACTGCAGTCCCGTATGAGGAGACAGACAAGTCACAGCTCCACCACAGCACAGCAATGATGATGCGCAGGGCTTTCCTGGAATTGCGCTGATAGTTCGCTGCCCGGACAGCTGCTGATTTGCCTGCTGAACGTGTACCTCTGTGCCCTCCACACTGGCTTCTAGACTGCCTATAACATCTCCCTGTTCATGAATCATTGTTCCCAAGTGTTTAAATATTTCATTAATATCCGTAATATCAGCCTCAAGCCACCTGATAGAAGACTCTCTCCCGTGAATGCGGCAGAGGTCATCTTCTGTAATCTCATCGGCTTGCACTTGCACTTGAGGCTGTGTTTGGCTTTCCCAGGGTATGAGATTCCTTTCTTTTGAGTTGTCCTCAGGAAAACCACCCGACACTCTGGAACTGGCTCTTATTTGGGCCACAAATTCCTTCTTTCTCTCAGTGGCTTGCCGCTGGACCTTCTGAAAGTTTGTCAGTGCTGTTGTGAATTCAGCCACTAAGTGATCCTTCGGTATTTTCCTTGGACGCTGTTCACTGGGGGTGGTGGGTAGAGATCCAAACTCTTCAATGTACTTACCTGTTTCTTTGGCAAGTTGGTTAGTATACCGCTGTTTCTGTTGCAGCTGTTGCCTCAGTGCAGGTGAGTCTTGTGTCCCAAGTTGATTCAGTGTCCTTTTTATTGCCTCAGAACACTGTTTGATCTTCTGGATGTTGGAAGAGATGCGCTGGGCCGGCTGGACAGGGTCCCCACCAATCCCTGGAGTGTAAGACAGGGCCGGCTTGCTGATTCGCTAATTTCATCAGATGTTGGTAGGCTGTGCAGTATTGTAGGCAGTCACCCCGGCCTCCTCCTCGATTTCCTCCTCCTTCTGCGCCCACAGGCACCCACAGGGCCCCCAGCTCTGAGAGGCAATTCTCAACTGACGGCGGGCGATTTAGTTAGACCCAACTGCAAATCAAAGGAGCAGAGGAGGCCAGCAAAGAAGGAAGGGAGCAGGAGGGAGAAGGAAGAAGAGACGGGCGCAGCGCGGGGCGGGTGGCGGGGGCCGCCGGGGTCCAGCACGTGCCTGTGGCACGCGCAGCCGCTCAGTGAGTGGGCACTGCTCCCCCGGGGCGGGAGGGCAGAAGGAGAAACAGCCAGCGCGGGGCCTGTACCTCAGGCCTCGTCTGTCTGTTCCAGAGCGAGGGCTAGACTCACTCTGTGAGATATACTGCACAGCTCGCTCGCCCCTCTGAGTGCAACTAATTACCTCTTTTATCAATTAAAAATATTTCCCATTAAGCCGGGGCGCTGCAGAGAGAAGGCGTTTGCTTCTCCCTTTCTCCAGCTCCCCAAACGCAGCGAGATAATGTCACTGGTGTGGTTAATTTCAGGTGCACATCGGCTGTTCAACCTGGGTGAATTTAATGACTCAGGACAGGACAGGCGACGAATGGCCCCCTAAATCATTCCTAATAGCAAGAATAAAAATTGAAATTCAGTCTGAAGAACCTGATAACAGTGTGCTGGTCTAGAGATGGAATTCTCCGCCCTGGCCCAGCCCATCTGGGGGACAAGACTCCTGGGACTGCTCTGGGGGAGAAGGCTGGCCCCCTCCAGTCCTTAAGGACTTACTGTGACAAAGGACTTCAGCTGAATTATCTGGTGACCCCTCCTCTGTCACTCTTTCTTTTTGCCCAAGCTCTTCTTTGAGGGTGACCTGGGGCCAGGTAGGCCCAAAGTCTGGCTCTGAACACTTTGCTGAGGGATGGGCAGCGCCATCCCCGAGGCGCCGAGGAGTTCTGAGAAGTCTTTCCCCTGTTTCGGTGCTTAGTGATGCTAGATGCATAGCACCCCAGCGTGTCGGAGTCAAGCTGGGGGAGAGTGGACGGAGCATGTCCACCCTCGTGTCCCCAGAACACAAGCTGAACACCGTCTTCCTTTGCCGCTCCTGCCCGAGGACACCTGATCTCATTTCCAAGGCTAACTCGGGCGGCACTTCCTCCAGGAAGCTTTCCCTGATGACAGCGCTGCTTGCTTTCCCATCCCCGGAACTTTCCTGTCCTGAAGGCGCCCCCTTTCCCTCTCACATTTCCTCAGAATATTGTACCTGGCTAGCTCTGGCCTTCCTACCTGGGTGCTAAGGTGCAATCAAAGGCAACTGCACTTCCTCCTACAAGACAATCAGAGGTTTGCCGGGAGCCTCTCAGGGTCAGGGACTGGGGGCTGGGGACCGCAGGCGGGTGCTGGGGTCTGGGGTCTGTTGGTGGCTGGGGATTGCGCTGGTGCCAGGTCCCCTGGGAGACATGGGGAGGGGAAAATCGGGAGACTCCAGGGTCAAGTCCAGAGAAGGCAAATCAGGCTGGGCTACATCTTGAGTTCAAATTCAGCCTAAGTCACATTGCAAGACCCTGTATCAAAATACTAACAACAAAAAGGCTGGTGCGCTTTGTTCTTATGGCCCAGAAGTAGCTCACCAAACCCAGGGGCAGCAGAAGGGCAGGAATTGGAAGTTCACCCACCCTGATGCTGTGGCCCTCAGCCTTGGTGCCAACACCAGTGGTGTAAGAATCTAGGGGACCTGGGGCCGGGGAGATGGCTCAGTGGAATAAGTGCTTCCCTGGCAAGCACAAAGGACTGAGTTCAATCCCTGGTTCCACCAAAAAAAAAAAAAAAAAAAAAGAATCTAGGGGACCTGATGGCCCCAGTTGCTCTCAGAATGGCAGATCAGGGGTGCTGAGAGCTGCCCTGCTGCTGGGCTTCCTCTGGAAGCCCGCTCCATGCCATCACACATGGGGCAGAGAGGGCACAGGGTGACTCAGAGCTGTTGGGTTTGTAGGGTACAGCACTGGCGAGTGGGAAAGACCCAGCCTGAACCCACTCCTGCTTCCTGGGGGACAGAAGAGGAAGAGGACCCCACTCCTAGACACCATTCCTGGTGGACTCAGGCTGCCGGTGTGCGGTGGGCAGTGCTGGGGCAGAGCTGTTGGCAGCAGTCCCACAGGGCAGCTCGAGACCCAAGGCAGAAGTCTCTCATTCCTTGGGCTGGGAGAGCCCCCTTATCGCTATTCTATCCAATGCAGTATGCAGGAAACCAAGCCCAGAGCCACCCAGATGCGGGCCTTGCAGGGTCCCAAGAGATGCAACGGTGCTTCTCACAGCTCGGGGCTAAAAAGACAAGGCCTGAGGCATCAGGTAGGTGGGGTCCAGCGAGGCCCCACTGAGAGCGCCTCATCACGAAGCCCTCCCCAACTCAAAACACCAAGCTCTGGTGCTGAGTGATGCGTGATTATCTGTTAGTTACTGCAGACTGATCAGGCTTGACATCTCCGGAACAAGCATATAGCAAAAGCTTAAATAAAAGAGACAAATGGTATGATTTAAGGGCTCCAGGAGGATCAAAACTCAGAATATGAGATTCTCTTGGGGCTAAGACCAAGATCTTCTCTGAGTAACCTGTATTTATTTAGCTGCCAAACAAAGGAAGGGTGAAGAAAGGCAGGAATCTGAGCAGGGCCTGTCAAGGACCTTGGGAGTCCTCACAAAGGCTTCCCCAAGTAATACACAGTGTTAACTTAGGAGAATCGTGTCGTCTCCTGGCAGTCTCCTCCCAGGAGCAAGGTGCCTGCAGCTGCAGTCTTTAGTTAACTGGCACTGGAGCCAGGTGTCCCTAGCTGTGGCTGTGTCCATCCTTTGAGACCTCACGGCTTCACAGGCCACTGTAAGGTCTGCGTGGAGCCAGTGAGTCCCAGAGACCCACTAGGAGTCTATTACCCATCTCTGGCCAAGGGGACCATTGACATGCTCACAGCTAAGCATGGATAGCCAGCTAGTTAATTTAAATTCTCAGAGCCACTATGCAGTGGTCTCCATCCACTCTGGTGGAGAAAGCCTGACCCAGAGCCCAGAAGACCCTAGAACAAACAAATTGCACAAGCCCCCTCTGCATCCTCCGAGCAGGTCTGTGGAGCAGAACCCCAGGGCCCACGGCTGGCTCTACTGGCTCATCTCTCACAGGGAGCCTCTGCCCAGGTAGGCATGCTGGAAACCCCTGACACTGCAGAGACCTTAGCCAGTGCCTCTGTGCCAGGCCCGTCCACCTGGCTGCAGGACCACATCAGGCACTTTTCACACTGAGTCAGGTGGGAATCTGAGGGGATGCTGATCCCCCATGACAGAAGCTCTGGCTCTGATCAAACTCTCCTAACCAGCTCCTGTTACACAGGCAGGGGTGAGAACAAGCATGCGTCATCTCCCAAGGGCCCCTGCGTCATCTCCCAAGGGCCCCTGCGTCATCTCCCAAGGGCCCCTGAGCTCCAGCTTGTGACAGTGATACAGGAACCTCCAAATGACACAGGGAAAAAAAATCTATCTTCCACCCTAAAAGGTACATGGGACAAGGTCGTGTTCTCTAAAGTCAATGAATGAATTTTAGGAACAGAGATTACAAGCAGAATAGATTTATTGGGGGAAAGAGAGCTGCTGTCCAAGACACAAAGGGACAGGAGGGGGGACCCGAGCAGGTGGTCCCCGGGAAGCTGTCTCTTCCAGGGACTTTTATAGAGGAAAACCATGCAGTGAGGCGGGTCTCAGGTGGTGGAGAACATGGGAACTCGCTTAGGTGGGCGTGAGGAGGGACAAAACCATGGCCAGCCAATGAGATTACAAACACACTGCTCAGGTAAAATTGATTAAATCCAGCACCAGATGGGGAAGTGAGTCACATAGCAAGCGGGCATGAATGCGGGACAGGGTCTCTTCCTGTGGGGGGGTTGGGCTGGTGACTCATTTGGGCTCTTTCCAGGTGATTGATACCTATTTAGAATATCAATCCCTGATGCCCCTCCCTAGGGAAGTATGTAGCTGTGTGTTTCCTCTTTTGTCTTGGTCTTGAGGTCTGGCCCATATGGGAGTGTCTGTCTCTTCCAAGTTGCAATGTCACCTTGTCTTCCAGCTTGTCTCCTTGAGGCCTGGCCCTGTCTGACAGCCCATAATATTTCTATCTGATTCAGCTGCCTACAACAATAGCAGGAGCTTCATGGGCCCAGTGACACGGGCCGCTCCTGTCCCGAGATCAGCAGTGGCCTCCATGCCCTGGCACTTCTGAGACCCACATGAGGCTCTGCCCCATGAGATGCTCAGAAGTGCAGGGCTGGCAAGGCCTCAGAGGCCGCAGATCCAGCTTCACCAATGCGTGGACGTACTACGGAAGCACCTTGGCTTGAACATTCGGTCCCAGTAAACACATGGTAGATGGGAAAGACCCCTAAACAGAATGTCCCAGCCAGAGGCCCTGCACTGCAGAGAACCAGCTGTGTTCCTGGAGAGCCAGATCTGGAAGGGGGCTGGGCCAGGCAGCCAAGCCTGTAGAAGACCACAACTCCCCAGAGCATGGTTTCCCTGAGAGTCTCCTCAAACCATGGAAGCGGGGAAGCACCACACGCCAAGCCATCGTCAACTGCAGGCGGCCACAGGTGGACCGGACTTCAGCACCACGCCTGCTGGGTGAGAGAGCAAGCAGAGGCGGAGCCCAAACGTCAGCTTTTAACGCAGCTGTGGGACACAGCCCTTCCGAGACAGCTGGGCCGAGCTCTAGCTGTGCGCGGAGGTGTTGATTGTGTTGTCTTGATACAGCCTAATAGTGCACATGGGTTAACGGATTGGTCGCGCTCAGTGTGATGTTGGGGAACGAAACTCCCAACCTGAAAGGTACCTGGGGGGTCTGGGGAGATGGCTCAGTAGAATAAGTGCTTGCCTGGCAAGCGCAAGGGCCTGAGTTCAATCCCCGGTTCCGCAAAATAAATAAATAAA